AGATTTACAAATCCATTCAAATATACACACCAATGATCATACGGGAACAACCATGTCCATATCAAAACAAAATTTCATTTAATACACATATTTTTCTATATACTTTTATTTATCATCTTAACTTTTCATTAAAATAAAATCTACTACATATTTCCTTTACTATTTTGATTTTAATTTACTAAACATTTTCTAGATATCTTAACTTTCTAATAGCAAACTTGAAATGAACATGAATACAAGATCTGTATTGGTAATTTAGATTTTAGACTGTCTTTATTTCTGTTTTTATTTCTCTAAATAAGGAGAATTGAAACCATTAAATTCCTACAAACAAGGAAGCAAAATGCTTACAAAAAAAGGGATTCTTAATCAAAACCAAAAATAAGGGAACTCTGTTTATTCTTTCTAACAAACAGAGTACAACTCTTTTATTTGCTAAATAAGAACTAAGAAATCAAACACTTACGGGTATTTCGGTTGGGTTTGGTTTCCTTGGTCGATTTGATCGTTGACTAATTGGTGACTTACCAAAGGTTACCAACTCCCTAAGAAGGATATGATCAATTTGGTAGACGAGGTATCAAGTCCATCCACTTTGGAAGCACAAATTGAGATAACATAAGAACCGAAGTTACATTGCTATTAGATTCCATGTAACTCTTAGAATCCGATGTTTTTAATCGATAAAAACCTTCATTGCTACTCCATTCCTCTAAATCTTGATGAACAATAAACTCTTGCGTCTTCAAGTTACCCGTTACCAAACAACAATGTTGTCGACTCCATAGATAAGCGATATCCGAATCAAACGGATTCATTGCCATAGGAAAACAATCGAAATCAAATCCGACAGACTCCATGTTTATTTCTTCCCGTGACAATCGCCACTCAAAGTTGATATTCAGCTTCCAAACCTTCAATTTTCGATCAATTATTTCAATGTAGATAACATCATCTCCTCCTGAAGTAGTAGTCAAGCATCTCCTAACATGTTTGTTATACGGTAGAGGGAGAGGTATAACCTGACATTGATCATCACTTTCTTCATTCCAAAAGTCATGAGGAATAAGTACTCCAGGTTGATCGATAGAGTCCGAATCCATTTCCCACATAAAAATCATCCCATTGAGATTCATGGAAGGGTAAGAAGCAGCGTAGAAGATAGGATATGAGGAGACAAGCCGCTTCAAAGTCCATAAACCTGTCTCAGAAGAATAAACATAAACTCTCCATACAAACATTTCTTCCATGTCTCTGTCTCTACTTTGACAAGTCCTAACCACTTTGAAGCTTGAAACGACGCCGTTTTCTTCCTCCACACGCGTTACCAAACCAGTGGCTACACATGGCTCTGGAGGAGGAGGTATTTCGACCCATTGTTGTAAAACTGGATTACCCACCAAAGATTTATGAACGTAAGGCATGTTATCGACGCGGTTAGCGAAGATCTCGATCCAAACCAAACCATTAGAAGAAGCTACATAGGAGTAGTGAGAAGAAGTAGGTTGAAAAGGCAAGATATAAGAACCTAGAGACTTGTGAAGACCCCATGTCTTGCATCCATGGAAGCCTATAGCTTCTGTGATGTTGTCGGTTCGGAACATGAGTGACCATGAAGAAGAAGATGAGTTTCGGTGCAGAGAGATGAAGAGACCACGGAAGTAGGACGATTCTACTAACGATTTCCATGTTTTGGATACTGATTTGAATCTTGTGATGCTTCTCAATGGTAATCTTGCAACTATCTCCACCAATAATGCCTCTGGGATTCTTCTTCTTCCCGTTGCCATTGGGATTAGCAATTTTCCATGGATTGGTTACACTTTGCCATATCCCCGTTTGATTTTCTTTCGTCAACTTGTACCACTTGCACTAGTGGATTTTTATTTATTACTTTTTTTTTTTGAAACAAGTACATTGTACTATTTTCTCGAACTTTAGTGGGAAAGACATTTACTAACAGATTTGTAGTTGAGAGTTGAGATCCTTGATTGGTCAATTCCCTAGGTAAAATGCTTCTTTAATATTGTTTCTGTTATAAACCCATTATG